GATGTACAGCCCATCGCTCACTCGCGTTATTCTAATATACAGGGGGGGGGGGCAAAAAAGAGTCACTTTGCCTATGGCGCACATCATCAAATTTTTCTTCGCACAGAATGCCGCAGCTAATGAATGTTTTACGGCAGAATATTCCTTAGGTGTCCCCCATAAGCAGAAGCAGCCCCTACTTCAATGCCCTCACGGTCTTCAGAATATGACGTCATCTGCCGTCGCCGTCAAGCTCAACGGGGCTTACCGTAATCGCTCCGCGGCCTGAAGCTGATTTCGTTTCGTGAGCGTTGGTAAATAGCTTCCCAAAGACACTAGCTGTGACTGTGCAAGACCGCTTTTGACCGGCGTTTCAGGGACGTCGCGTAATGGTCTATGGTACCTCGACGACGTCGTTGAGCTCGTACCGTGAACCATGTTTCCGTGGAAAATCTTCTGATGTCGTCTGTGTAGAAGGCTGTCATGTAACCTTTGATAGAACTTGAATGTGCTCTTTAATATGCAATTGGGCTCATTTGATTTGGTTTCGCAGTTCGAGATTAATTGCGTTTTGAATGTGGAGAGAAGTGACTCTTTTCTTTGGCCCTCTCCCCTGTACTTCACATAATTACAACCCACATCCCTGATTAGCCTGGTTGAAGCTCCCGCAAGACAAACTACTCAATTTAATCTATAACTCGGCGATTTTGAATTTCTGTCCGTCCTTGCTGAATGCTGGCAGGTCAAAAAACAGCTCATTCTATGTAATTGATTTTCTCATCAAAACAACAACCGCACATTGAAATTGATGGAGTAATAGCGCAGATATTCCCCGTAAGTTACCCAATTAGTTGCCTCAGATCAGGTTACAGGGGCTTCTGTCAAACCAAAAAAAATAGCGTGAGGAGGCGTGGAAAGCACACACTTTGTGTCTTATTGGGACTAAGCCTTTTGAGAAGATAAAGAAAGAGGAGATGCTGTGATAGTGTGCACTTGTGAGAGCTCCCAGACATCACTACAAAACGCTGAACCGCCAAGGCTCGCGGTTGACAGATGTCCTGAGACCAGGGTGAAAATCGTGTCGAGGAAATAACCGCCTCTTTACGACCCCCCTCCAAAACATGGACTCTGATACGACCCCTTTTTGTCCTCTGCACATCCGGTTTCATATCAAAAAATGCTAGTTTCAGATGTGCGAGAGGGACGCAGCGCCACTGCCACGCAAATGCGGCTTGATCCAAATGCTAGATTCAATTCTGCTCAGATTAGGTTCTCCTTCTTTCCTTTAAAGACATTTAACCTTTGCCACATTGGCCGGAAAGTAGAACATTGAAGGAGGTACTGCCCCTACACAGTTGAACAGTCTCGCGCTCCAGTATAGCGGCGCTAACTACCCGCGATCGCGTCGCGCGCTGTGCCTAGAGCGCGCTAGTTGGAAAAATCGTCAAATGTACCCCCTATTTAAAGGACTATAACTTTCTTCATTGATAACCATTTCAAAAAGTGAAGGCAGCTTTTGAATGCACAAGACTTCTAGTTTCTAAATTGTGCTGAGCGTTTTTCTAAGCACGCCTATTCTCGAGAGTGGGAGACGTCGAGGAATTGTCGAGGAAATTGAAATTTACATGCGAGTTCCCACTCTTTGGAAGACAGTAGCTGTCTTCATTGGCAATGCTTTGAAAATCGGAGGAAAGCGTTGTAAAGTAGAAGATTTCACGCTTTTGATAGGTGCTCCATTTGTTTCGAACGCTTTCTAGTTCGCGAGAAATCTGCGTCGAGGAAATGTCAAGGAAATTTTCGAAGCCACTCGAAAACTCTATTACTCCCTCGCCGTAGTAGGGAACTTCTTTGAACACCTTCAAAATACTTCTGTACACGTCAGTTCGATGGAGTAAATTGAAAATGATGCACTTGGCGCGGATCCATTCCGTTCTTGTATGCGCCATGCAGTGACCCCACTCGGAGTCATTGGGAAGGTGTTTTGTCCTAGTGACGACTTGCTTAAGCACACCAAAAGATATTTCCAGTATTAACTAATTAGGATAACTCTTGTGGTCATAGTGATGTCTGATCATTCCTTTATTCAAATCGCTTCCTTTCCAACCCGTTCTGATGAATGACAGCTTGCGGTTGCAGGATCTGATGATGCCAAGAAGGCTGCGAATCTGCCTGTTTTGAACTTTCTACCAAGATGCTGTTCTCCACTAAGTTCTCGAAGCATGTGCATCATTCTAGAGTAGATACTCGCTGCCCTTTCCCTACGATTCTTTTGCAGGACGCGTTGCCTTCCTATGCCATACTGATCACTACGAACCAAACCAACACACTTTCCATTTGAATTTTAATTCCAGACAGGTGTAAGATATTATTTGCATTAGGCTAACTACAACACTTGTGAAACTAATGATGACAGCAAATAAGTGGCAGCAGCACCGTTGTGTCCGTTGATGAACCTTTTGATTACGACCCCCTCCCAACTCTCATCGGAGCAAATACGACCCCCTGTCGAGGATTTCCTCGACCGTTATTCACCCTGCCTGGAACCGGGTTAGATCACTTTCTTTGATCCCAGAACATAAATGCGCGCATTTCGTGCCGACATTTGACGTCTACATAATCTGATAATCGTGGGCTACTCTGTCCCACCCTCACATCAGAGTATATTCTTCGTCATGACCTCATGTGGGGTTGTTGCATCAGGTGCATAATCCTGATGCCTAACCCCCTGGTGTAAAGAATCACCATTTCAATCGATCCATCGAAAAACAATAGCTTCCGTTTTAACACTGTTGACGACAAACGCAGGGGTGTTATATATATATATATATAGTTGCACCGCGTGAGACCGAAGAGCGATTATGCAGTCGCGTCTCTTGCCTCGAAAAACCACGAAGTGAAGAGAAATATTGAAATCTACAAGAGGAAGGACAGATCTCTCTTAGAGACAGTGTTTAGTTTTCTCAGAAAACCTATTAGAATAACAAGTTATGTGAACAAATGTGAATGAATATACAGTAACACTGGGCGGCTATAGGGCTACCCAAAACAATAAGACACAGAGGAGACATTGAACCCGATTACTGTAGTGGACAACAGGCAAATTGGAGAAGGCACGACTGGGAGCGTGTGGGCGAGTGGAGATGCCTCTCGCACCCAAAAGGGTATGTCGATGGACAAGGGCTAACTAGATGTCGGTGAGCATTTGGGAGTTACGTGAAGCAGTTGGGTATAAGTGAATTCAGGCGAGAATGGATCAGCCGGCATCGCCTACTTTTTGTTCGGGTCGATCAAACGCAGCTCGTAAAGACCGCATTCGTCCTGGCTAAAGTCGATCGGCTGCAGATTCCTCATCTTGGTCGACATCAATGGATCCCACGATGCTGCTGCCCAGGTCGAGGCGCGTCCTAGAAAAAATCAATGGTCTCCTTATACGGTAATGCTGCAACTGATTTGACATACCACGACCAAAAATGGCGAAGATAACCGACGAGATGGCGATCACCGCTGCTGAGAACATGAACACTTTCGACCATTCAGCAAGCGTACTGAAAACAAAAGATCCTGCACTAGCTCGGGTATTTAATTTTTATTTGATGCACGTGTAGTACGCTCTTAAAGGCAGTGAGTACGTTGATTTGATGTTCACCAAACATGAAAGCCGAGGGGCCAAATGATGCACCAAAGTGGAAGAAATCAGAAGAGTTGAAAAATTGAAAAACGGGACCCATTTTGCCCCTTATTCTGGACGAGTTTACGGCTTAGATGTAGCCGTCTGGGCCAGGATATCCCGAAAGAACACAGGAGAGAACAAAACTGGAAGATACGCCTGTATGGATTAAAATGCACTAGCGAGATAAAAACGGACCGATATTTATGGCAGTACCGTAATGGAGAAGAGACGGCTTTGGGGCGGAGCGATTCTCAAATTTGGAGTCTTACTCTGGCGCTGCAATTTGCGCATTTTCCTACGGTATAATACCAATCCTCGCTTCCTACCCAGCTGCCGGTTCTATGGACATGTTCCCGTTCAAGATCCACTTCATCAAGCCCACTGACTTTAAGGACAGTGACCACGATGACTGTAGGGCGAGGCGGTTTTGGTGACGTATTGGAACGTCATTGGTGGAAGGAAGTTGGAAGGCGGTCACAAACACATCCGTAGCGAGGGAAGGGTTCTAGTCCACCAATGGCGTTTGATGACGACATTAGAAGGGCACAGCCCCCAGCCATAATCACTGCCTTTAAGATTCAACGTACGGTTAGCAGTTGAACGAGAGCAAACACAAAATACTTTTTCTGCGTTAGAACAATATTTATAAAAATAATAGCGCATGAAAAGACAGATTTCTTTGAATAACTTACTTCGTTCTGAGTACGGCGAAGACAAGCAGGGGTGCGGTGATGAGAAAGCGAACGGCAAACCTGACTCCTATGAAGGC